AAAAGACCTGCCAAAAGCGCAAACCCGGTCCTCGGTTCCCAGTGTTCTGTTTGATCGTTTCGTAGTCCACCGCCGTTGCTGGCGGAATAGGGCGAGTGTTCTCCCTTTCGAGTATGTTTTGGTTGAGTTCCAAGTTCTGGATTGTGATTGATGTCGTTATTCTTTGTCTGCCTGCGTCTGCCCGTGGATCGCCGCGACCTGGACGTGTCCTTCTCTGTGCTTCTTCCTTGTTGCTTGCATTTCGTCTATCGATTGCCGCGACCTGGATACGTTGTTTTTTAGTGTTTCATAGTTTTTTTTTTTTAAAGTGGGGCCCGTTAGGGGTACGCTTTTTGTTTTGTTTTGCAAAAAAAAAGCTGTTTAGAGGGATCGTGGGTGGAGTATGTGCGCACGAGAAAAATAATAATAACAGTTTTTTTTTGAAAAAGTGGGGCCCGTTAGGGGTACGCTTTTTGTTTTGTTTTGCAAAAAAAAAGCTGTTTAGAGGGATCGTGGGTGGAGTATGTGCGCACGAGAAAAATAATAATAACAGTTTTTTTTTGAAAAAGTGGGGCCCGTTAGGGGTACGCTTTTTGTTTTGTTTTGCAAAAAAAAAGCTGTTTAGAGGGATCGTGGGTGGAGTATGTGCGCACGAATAAAAGAATAATTTTCATGCACAGGGGCGTGAAAAATTAGCCATGGCTGTCTGGTGTCTGGTGTCTGTCTGGTGTCTGTCTGGTGTCTGGTGTCTGCGCGCCCTAAATACCCAGCAGACTCGAGCCCATTTCACCATCTCGGCACCAAATTGCAAACTAAAACTTGCGCACAACAAGTAATATTTTGCCCGAGCTGTCCCAACCGCTACCTTTGCAATCCGTGGTCGGTGTCTCGAGATAGCACACCGTTTGTGCAANAATTTGCACCGCTTCTTGGAATAGCCCGTCCCCTACTTGCCAAGAAATGGCAAGAGGCGTCTGGACCCGAAATTTCAATTTTTTTGGCTCCCGCTCTCAATCGTATACTCCGCTCTCAATCAGGCGAAAACCCTGTTGATCCTAAATTACCAGCTATTAGTAGCCTTAGGATTTGAGTATAGAATCTGTATAGATGATCTTCAGGGTGGGCTAGTGTTAAGGAGTGTTGCTGTATGGCACAGATAGGGTACACAGTCGGTCTAGATTAAGATGGGGGACGTCAGGAGGTATACCCTCTTAGGACGTACCCCATCGGGACTTAGCTATCTGCGTGCCCCCAGGTTGAGGGCAATCCGCCTCACCTCAGACCTGTAGCAGACCCGCTTCTGCAATAACAAGCAACCTTCCCATCTCAACGTGCTCGTGGACGAGAGTGTCTACGGCAGAATCTACATCTACTACATCTAGGAGGCAAGCCACCGTCGGGCGGGCATTCCTTTAAAATTTTCATAAACAGCGGAATATACGGTGAGAAAAAAAAGTTCAATAAGAAAATATTTGGGCAGGTTGGCGCACCAAAAGTGCCAAATAATTTATTTTCGCTCCAACGAAAAACATCCTCGGGCGTCCTC